TTACGCGCTACGGCACAAATTAAATACCACTGTCTAATTTTGCGGTCCACGTCGTGGTAAGGCACGGATACAGCTACAGACACAGACCGTGCAGTGATTATAACCAGACTGTTATCACAGAAAGCGGTGATTAGACTAGACTATAATAATACACTAGGTTCTTTAGTCGGTTTTGCGACCACTTGAAATTCAAACATTGTTTAAAACAGCTTAAAATACGGGGCAGTATAATTGGCGCATTCCATAGGATAATTGTTTATTATAAAAAATACTTGGTTGGCTCTTTTCTTAATCTTATTTGGTAGATTTAATTTTTGACTAAGTTGAGGTTTTTTCTTTTTGAATGAAAGCAATAAAAGTGTATTTATTTGTTGTTTAAGTTGTTTGTTCTTTTTCCTATTTGATATGTTAATTAGTTTGATATGTTGGTTCGACCTATTTTGGGCGTAGAAAACAATTTTTGAATTTTCATATTTATGCCGCAAAAACCGAATAAAAAATCGTAATTCGCATAGTTAGAGAAAAAGGAGTTTTTATCTTGTAACTTATTTACCAAATATCATTTTTATTTGCAGTTACAACTTTTTCTTAAAATGCTATTAAAGTTTTGTAGTAGGCTTTAACGATAAAAGTTCCAACAACAAAGATGTTGATTTCATTTGTATTTAATTTTGCAGGTTTTGAAGGTTCATTAACGTTCTGTAGCTTGATAAACTTTGACAGATATTTAGATAGAATAATATAGAAGTTAATCAATCAGACAGATCACTTTCACAAGCCCTTTCAAAGTTTATCATAAATTTTAATGAATAGTAATTAACCTTTTTATAGAATATTAACAGGTGATGGCAAGAAAGGTAATAAGAGTCTCAACAGACTAGCCGGTAATGACAGATTATGTTCAATGTTTTTTTTTTTAATGTATGCTTCTTTTTGGTTATGATTATTATAAGTTTTTATCATGATCTTGCCACTTATCTAAGAGTACTCGCATGCAGCGGCGTCACCTAGAAAATTTGAATTTGTATTGAAAATGGATAATTCCAAATGATTAGTAAATGCAAGCAAATCGTTCTTTGAAACAATTTGAAAAAAATATACCGTGGAAAATAATTTGCATACTCGTCCTTCGTGTAATTGTTCCGAAATTGTTAATTGAACATATACAAAAGAAGAGGTTTGAAGAACAATTATTTAACACATGCTTTTCCACAGCATAATTTTTGTTGTTAAATAGACCACGAAAAGCTACTTTGTATACAATCGCGGCGTGCACATGCGTTGCGGTAATTTTTTTAAACATGGCATTTTTCTGTAATTACTCTGAACTATTATTTAACAATTAAAAACGGATTTAATAGAAATTTTATATGGTACTATTTCAAAAATTGCAAATCTTTCGTGAAATTAATGATACAATAGCACGATTTAGCAATTTGCATACAATTTTAATATGTAGATAAGTAGATTGTTTTAAAGTTAAAAACAGCATGAACTATTAACAAGCTTGTTGGAAAATAATTCATTTTGATTATAATTCTCATTGAAGGAGGTAGGTAACATTTTTACAAAAATTGAGTTTTTGTAATAGATGAAGGAGGTACATGTTGGGCTGTTTTGTGAAACTGACAGCAGCTCTCCAAAAGCCGTATTAACAGAAATACTAGTGTCATGAAGGAGGTATGTGACCAGAACCATTTATATTTGTAGTGGATGAAAGACGTATGAAAAATAAACAACACAGCTCCTTATTCCACTAGCGCCGTGAATATGCTGTATAACCCTTCATGCACACAATAGCTAACAGCAAAAAACAGTTCATCAGTTGACAAATCGATCTCGTTTTGATCAGGGCTGGTTTTACCACTAGGCGCTAGCCTAGGGCCTCTTAAATTAGGCCAGCAGAGCTTCAATCTGGTAACAGAGCAAGAAAAGCTGAATCAGCGCGCCGCGACGTAATAGTGTAACCAGAGATAACTGTTATCTCTGAGTGTAACTGAACCACTACACACAACCGTTGTTTTTGACCATGATACTTATTGAATCGGCATATCTATTATAATAATCAGAGGGGCTATTTTCAAAGTATGGCAGCACTCATTTCTCTCAAGATTCTCATCAGAAATGTCATACGTCAAGTAGAAACGCTGTTTTTAAAGGCATCGAGAATTAAAATTCTTGTGAGAATTTTAATTATATTTAAATAAACAGAGAGAAACAGACAGTGAGTTCACACTGGCCCTAAGGGCCCTAATATTACTGTTTTACGTTGACGTATGATATTTCTCTTGAGACAAATTTTAAAATAGCCCCAATGGAGTCTAGGAGCGCGTTCAGATGATTTTACACAGAAATAGACTAATATTCTTAGATCGGCTGTCCAGGTTACTCTAGTAGTTATTATATTATAAAATAGATGCCTAACAAAGGGCCTCAAAATTGTGTGGCGCCTTGGGCCTCATGTTACGTAAAACCGGCCCTGGTTTTGATAAAACAGACGTGTGGTACTAATTTTTAACCAACTTCAAAAAAGGAGGTTATCAATTCATCGTATTTTTTTTGTGTATGTTCGGCGATAATTCTTTAACACGGTGTTCGATTTGAATGATTCTTTTTTTGTTAGAAAGGGGGTACTTCAGGGGTGGTTCCATATTAATTTGGTCAAAATCTAATAATTGGGTCCATTAGAAAATCCTCAAACTCTTCATTTTTAGTGTATGTTTAGGGGTAATTCTTTACCACCTTGTCCAGTTTTTATGATTCTTTTTTTGTTAGTAAGGGGGTACCTCAGGAGTGGTCCCATATAAATTTGGTCAAATCTAATATTTGGGTCCATGAGAAAAATCTTCAAACTCTTCATTTTTAATGTATGTTTATCGATAATTCTTTACCACCTTGTCCGATTTCTATGATTCTTTTTTTGTTAGTAAGGGGGTACCTCAGGGTGGTCCCATATAAATTTGGTTAAGATGTGGTGACGGCATCTGCACGATTTTTGGAAGTCGGCTTTTTAAAATTACTTTTAATACTTGTTATAGTACCTACTTCCATAGCATTTTATCTACGCCAAATGTGGTTTTACAATTTAGGCATTCACATTACAACTAAAGTAGATAAAACCATTTTTTGTACATGGACCGAAGACCAAGCATGTAGTGAGATCGCCAGTTCTCTTTTAAGAATCCTTGAAGTTGAACTGGCACTTAAACAAATCATTTAATTATTTGGATAGAACAAAAATTTCCTAATGCTGTGTGTTTATCAGTATCTTATACAAAAAGGACTATTCAAAATAATGAACCATAACTTTCCTGAAGTGGGACATTCATATTTGGATTCGGACCGGGATTTTGGCCAATACAAAAAATATTAAGGAAATTCCAAATTAATATTGTGAAAATATTGCCTCTGCCAGTAAAAAATATACATTTTTATTTTCCAGACAGGGAAAATGCCTTTTTTTAAATCGATATAATTTATTTGAAACATTTGTTTGTGTGTTTGTAAAGAATTTTACGAAAATAAAAAAGCATACGTTTGTTAAATGTTTAAAGAGCATCGAAATGTATGAAAATTTTTGTTCGCGCATATTTACCCAATACTTTTCAAATAGTCCAATTGCATTCATTAAATAGTTGTTCCTAGTAATTACAAAAATGGTACATGTTTAAAAAATTACCGCAACGCCCCAGGCAGCAGACTGACGTCATTATGACATCTTATTTTCGTCATACAGGACGTCATTTATCCTCTGAAAACTAACGTGATAATGACGGTAAAATGACGTGAATATGTCACAGCCTAAATTACGTCATATTTAGACGCCCTTTTCACGTCTAAATATGACGTGTTTATGACGTTGTTTTAATGTCACCTTTGTCGTTATTCTTTATACTTATTTGAGACGTCACCATGACGTTACATTTAATATTGTTACTCCTTTGTAACTTTTCTATAGAAACTGTGGGTCACTTAATAAAACAAAATTAGAAAATGAAATAATTATAATTAAAAAGAAAAGTTAAAATACATGAAATTTTATCGGCAAACAACATTAATTTATATAAATCCAACTGCTCCAAATGTGGCCAAATTGTTCGTTATTATTTTGGTTTGGCACAATGATTTTTCTGAGTGCCGCCATTTTATACTATTTCACGAACCTGGAAACATTTTAGAAAACATCCTATATCCTATGAATGTAAAAGATATAAAATCATTAAAGAATAAGGATAATATAGATATAAAAATACCTTATGCTGGGTTGATACTGATATAACTTTTTTCACTGACCCTCTTAACTTTTAACAACAATCCTGAATGCACACGGGCCACGATCCACACACCATTACATATGGCCAATGCAACAATCTGCGATACCGTTCTCGTGCTTTCTCGAACGGCTCGAACATACACGAGCCATACTCAACAGACCGATAACCATAGACAGACGCAGTCATGTGTCACGTGGTGTCATTAGTCTTTATGCATTTAAGCGCCAGATTTAAACGTTAATAGACCTCACAGTTTTAAAAAATAATTGATAGGCCCATATTATTTTACATAAATAAAATGTATTGAAATCACGTTAAATATAAACCTTAATTTATTAGTGACAATAAATTGACGTCACACTGACGTCTAATTTGTGACGTCAAAAAGACGTTAAAGAAGTGACGTCCTAATCACCTTATTTTTTGGTAACATGACGTCGATGACCAAGAATTACCAAAAAATGTCGTCAAAATGTCGTCAGTCTGCTGCCTGGGGCATGTGCACGCCGCGATTGTATGCTAAGTACCTTTTTGTGGTATATTTAACAACAGAAATAATGCTGTGAAAAAGCATACGTTCAATAATTGTTTTTCAATACATCTTTTTTCACTTATAAACAATTTCTAGACGTACTCCACGAATGAGGTGTATGCAGATTATTTTCCACGGTTAATTTTTTTCCAAACTGTCACAAAGAACGATTTGCATGCATTTACTAATAGTTCGGAATTATCCACTTTCAATACAAATTCAAATTCGCTTGGTGACGCCGCTACATGCGAGTACTCTTAGATAATTGGCTAAAACATGTTAAAAACCTATAATAATCATAACTTAAGAGATGTATACATTAAAAAAAGTTGCACAAAATCTGTCATTACCAGTCAACCTATACATAACGCTTTCAGAGAGAAATCATGATAAATTTGAACTATATTTTCCAGGATCAACATATCTGTACAAGTTAGATGGCTAGATTTTTTTTTTAAATTTTGGAGCAAATTTTACTTATTTTCTAATGAATAAAATGTCTAGCTAGATTTTTGGGAAGTACGTATTACTCGCTAATCTTCCAAAAAAATTAAAATGTTATTTACTGGAAAATAAACATTATTTGGTACCAATTTTTAAGTAAAATCAGCTGCTTAGTTTTTATGCATACTGCCCATTGGCTTGGTGCAGAGATTTTCATCAATTTAAAAGTTTCTGTCATATTTATTTAATACATTGTATTTCTCAGAAGAACTTTTATTAAACATTTTAAGAAAAATATGTGAAACAAATACTCTAAATCACTAAAACTTACTTCTTAAAGATTATGCATTAACGAGTAAATAAATAAGTTAGAAGAGATCACTCTTTCGCGAAACGATGAAATTGTTAATAACATTTTAGCCACTCTAATTTTGGAGACTGTAGAGCCGATATTAGGGCATCTCAAGCATATATAATCAAAAGAGGATTGATCAAGCATAATGTCTACTTCATGTAAACTACTTTATTCAGAACGACTGTACTACAGTGCATTTGCGACAACACGCGCCGCATTCTACACTACACACAGAGATACATACTACATACACTAAGACTAAGTTCTATGAAAAAAATTATACATTACTTAGAACTACAGTAACTTTAAAATACATACGACAAACAGCTAAATGTTAATGTCTGTGTTAACAAGTACAAATTACGAGAATTTCTTGATAGCCTTCATTTGAGTAATGTTTGGAATGGCGCTATCAAAAACTTCTGATGGTTCTTTAATCAACGTTTAAAGGATCCATTTTGCGAACCATGGTAGGATATTTTGTTATTTTTTAAAGCAAAATTTAAGAAGTAAACAACTAACATAAAAGCAAACTTTCTTCCAAAACAATCATACTGTATACAAGTTTTTTTTTTTAAATTTAAACCAATGAGGAGATTAAATATATTATACATTTAAAAAAATATATTTTTTGACAGTCGTGGCATAAATGACAACCTGATAGAAATAGGCTTATAGGGTTAGTCAATTGTAAGAATGTTACTCACAATCTATCTATTCAACATTTAACAGAGCATCCATTTTTAATGATCCATGGTTGGTCAAGGTCTTCCGAAAGCTGCACATAATGGGAGTTTCCTGTTGTTAATGGAAGTTTTCAAATTGTATAAAATAATAAACTAATGGAGAATTAGCTTTAAATGAAACTAAAAATGGGTATATCACCATTTTACCTATGAAGGAAACAAATAAGTTTTAAGTTGAGCAGTTATTTAAACGAAATGTTAAAAAGTATTTTAGGTTAGTCTTGGATTTTTAATTGACAGTTTTATTATCACTCATGAGAACACAGTTGACCTGCCAATGTCAATCTAGATGTCGCTTAACCAAACATCTTTAATAATTTATTTAAATCTGTTTTTAAATTAGTTGTTACTTCTTACATTTCACTCATGGAGCATTTACATTTAAATTTGTTCATAAAACGACTACCTAGATTTATTTGTCTTAATATCTAAAAGTTTTTTATTTCTGACCATTTGGTTTGTCACAATCATTCAGACCCTCTGATAAAATACACTATTTACAGTTTGTTTTTCAGCAAGGGTTCACTTACATCAAGTGAAACTAAACCATTTTTATTTGTCTTAACAATTATAATTGGATACAAAAATAGAGGGTTGTTCATTCTGTCTCACAATGCTTATTGCTTGTCAACTTGATAATAATTTTTACAGTTACCTACTCTAAGTTGCCCTTGAAGTTTAACGAAAGAAAGGAATCATAATCTAATAATAAACAAAACAAAAAAACCACTACAAAACAAATATTGTAATGTTATCAGTAGGTATCACATGAACTGATAAAATTTATTTGAAAAAGAAAATTAGACATTCCAACGATCTGTCAAAATGCTGTCAGTGGGAATTGACAGTTTAGATATGGCAACCCTGTGGCACTGTTGTCATTGATAGGATCAATGATACATAGTTATATAGATTGCTCAAAGCGGGTCGTTTGGGAGCGGCCATATTGCCGGTTTAGCATAAGCTTGTTTATTTTTAAAAACAAGGATGATCAATCTATATAGCTATTTATATCATTGACCCTGTCAAATCACAAGGCGAACAGTGTTGCCATATCATAATCTATAATGTGCCTGTCAGTGGCATCTGTCATTACCTACGGGCAACCATTTTGTTTGGAAAGCCTAATTACTTGTCAAATTCATTGAAGGCTTGACAACATAACATTTGACTTAGGGCTGAATTATTAATCTCCTGGTAAAGTTAATGTTAGTAATCGGCAGGATACATTTTAACCTCACATTACGCGTTATCAATACAATTCCAACCCACATTTCTAAGTCTTCTATGGGCCGTTTGCACCACTTCAACTTACGATTACGGTTTAGCTATGGTGTACCTTGACTTAAGGTGAACCTTAAGTTTGGTATGTTTTGCATAGGTTTCACTTAACAAAATCTATGCTAAGATGAAGAACAACTTGGCAGCAGTGTAAAATTTTAGAGAATTCGTATATTACTAATCAATGTCAGTGTCGAATTGTCATCTATTTGATTAAAATTTGTGTTGTAATTTTGCATTATTAAAAATTAAAAACTGAAACCAAGCGTGCACCAAACTATTCAGTTAAAGAAAAGAGTTTATTATTAAACATTCTATACCGTTATCAAAACTTTCAAAATATTGCGTTCTGTGATAAATATGTCGAGATATCGTAAAAATAATTAAATTTAACTCATCAAAATCGTCATCATCATCGAAAATATGTTCCAAAAATTCCATTTATACTTTATTTCGGCCACACTTTTATCTAATTCTAATTATTTTATTTTCTATTGATAAACATATCAAACTTGTCAGATTGACGTTAAAAATACGCAAAGTAGAACTTAAACCGATGATACCTTCGGCTTAGTTTCACTATTACTTAAGTACAACTTAAACTATTTGAATTGTGGTCAGAAAATGAAATGTGCAACTTAGGTGATACTCAAAGTTAAGGTTCACCTAAGAGGAAGTGGTGCAAACGGCCCTAAATCGTCGTCAGAATATGATTGAAAAATATTAATTTCAGAAAATACATCCATTTTTTTTTTTATTTTTGACAATGACAACTGTTACTTTATACTGTAGTTATTTCTGTAGTCATATTGTTTAAATCTTAACAAACGAAAATAGTTGTTTATTTACTATCTGAAAGTTAGAGTAAAGTTTATCCTAAAGATAAATCGTAACAGGACATTCAAAATTGCAATTTTTGTTCTAACCAAAGGATAACCGTAGATACAATAGTATTATTTTATCTATGAGGATAACCTTAACTGTCACTTTACCAGGACATTAATAATTTGGGCCTTAGTTGATTCAATAGACTACCTAAGCGCAGTTTATAGCTTAAAGGAATCAGTTCGCTCACTCGGACCAATTGGATGTTCCAAAATAATATCCACTCCAGGGATACAAATTCAGGATGCGCAGAAGAATGCTGTTTGAATATAGGCGGTTGTCATATATTTTATTGGTTATGAATTGATTCTGTATGCGCCAGGGATACAAATCCGAGTTGCGCAGTGTATAAACTGGAACATTGAGATCAAAAGTGCCGACGCACTCTGGTGTTCATCATCATTTCCAAATACTTTAAATTTAATGCCAGATAGTCGCCAGAAAAAACATGTGGGTGCTCTTCCTCCGTTTCCTGTCATGGGTTTCCTTTATTTACTCTGTCATTTCCCATCTACTTTGAGGTTATGTTAAAGTTGTATGTCTAATAATTAGACACACATGTATTCGATAATATTCAAGAAAAACTATCAGTACTCTCTTATATTTAACACACCCTTATACTCACACAATTAAAAATTACTACTAGGAATTATGTATTTTGAATTTGATTGGAAAGGTTCGTTTAGCCCAGTCATAATCAACCTGCGGCCCTCCAAGCTTTCCTTTGCGGCCCGAAACACTATTATTAAGAAGTGAAAATTATTGGTTTGTTTTTACCGAATGTGCGAACACGTTTTGATCAAGGAGTTACTGCAAAAACAAGATAGCTCCACTTTCGGCATTTTCGTCTCCAAAATAGTTCAAATAATATACGGCATAATCAAGACGAATGTGAACGAAGTCTATATTCATGATAAACATAACTTTTTTCTAAATGTATTTAGTCCGATTCCTAATAGTGTTTCTGCCAAAACAAGATAAAAGCCAGAACACTTATTTTTGTTGAATACTTTTTGTCTAAACCATTGGTTTTGCCTAGAACCGTCTCTGGCCTTTCTCGATGGATCCGAAATCGATAAGGTGATTACGTCACCCTTTCAGGCATGCTGACGCTCGTCTCCATATTGTTTGCACGATAAAACGACCAGAAGCACTTCTTAAATCACTTAAACAACATCGAAACAGCAGTTTTTCGCATTGATTGAGAAACCCATGTAATGCTGACACAGGGATGTCTGAAAGAGTGAAAAAAGGCTCTGAAAATACCTCCAAAAAGTGCACATTAGTAATGCCAAGAAGATTTACTAAAACTTTGTAGAATTTAACCATTATTATCACAATCTACCATTATCCAATAATGTTAGACACTTCCTGAACCTTCCACAGAAGCTAAGTGACACAGCTATTGAATATTATGACCTGCACAGTGCACATGGATTTTTGTGTACGAACTCAACATGATACGTATCTAATAGAGAGAGACATTACATAAGAATTGCAGTGTGTCGAACGAAGATAGGCGTCTCAATACGTGCAGTATCGAAAGATAAGAATCCCACAGCTGTATGTAGACAGCTAAAATAAGCTAAGTGATGCTTTTTTCCTCTTTTTTGTTGTTACTAATCGATATATTCTTAGTTTATGTTTTGTAAAGACTAATTACGTTTTCAATTCGGTTTTTTTTTTTATTGGAAATGTTGTTTATTCAATTTTAAACTTTTGAAGAGCGTTTTCTTGAAACTCTAAAAATGTGAGGTATCTTGTTTTTTCAATAACCCGACGAGATATATGTATGTGTTGTATTTTATTTATTAGAGGTTCCCACTAACTAATTTTAAATGGATGACCTAAATAAAGGACATTATCCAGAAATATTGCGACCCGTGTAACACAGCAAACATACGTATGTGGCCCAAAGGAAAAAAGGTTAAGTATGGCTGGTTTAGCCCCTCCGACTTTGTGACGTCACGACTTAGGTAATCTATTAATATATGAAACTAATTTATTTTCAATTATTGTACTGACAATTATCGTTTTTCTTCAGCAAAAAATTGTATACATATACGCTAACTGATTTTTTACTTGATAAAAATCAGCTGATCTTTTTTTCTGACGTTCATAGTGTATACACTCAAATTCATAATTTTTTAAAGTGAAATAAAAGAAACTTGAATTTATTAAAATCTCTTTATGTATAATCTTATTACATACTGGAATGCCTAAAAGTCTGCAATTAAATACTTTTATGTTCCTGTTTTTCGTTAAACTAGTGCAAAGTTGCAAACCGAAAGTATAAACTACCAAATTTGGCACTTCAGTGACAATATAAAAAACTTAAAACATACAGGGAAAGTGTAAAACATACATTAAAACTGGATATCGCTCGTGATAACGTTGTACTCTTAAAAGTCTTAATAATCCGCTTTTTAGTACCCGAACCAGTATGACATTAAAATCGCTCTAAATCTAACCAAACAGCTGCCTAAGAAATAATAAAACTTATTACTATAAAAAAATCCTATCAGTCAAATGTGAAATAAGAGTATAAAGCTCGATCGGCAACTTGGCAGATACAATTCGAGACGCATTTCTGGTTGCCTAACAACTATCACAAGGTAATACCAGAAAATGTGTCGATTAGGGCTCCACTAAAATCTATTCTATTACAGTTACGGTATAAAAACATCAGTATGAACCATTTTCTTAAAATGAGCGACACAAAACTAAGAGCTTATCAGTCCACACGTAAAAATACTGAAATAGAGATGTCTTTTAAAAATCGCTAATAATTAATATGTAGAGAAATGAAATTTCTTATGTATATTAAAGAAACCAAATTTAAGTTGCATTTAATTTGTTTATTTTTTTTTAATACTGGTAACTGTAAAATTAATTAACAGCCCTTTTTATCCCGAAACTGTCAAAATCTGATGACAACTGACAGCTTAATGACATATCACATCATAAGAGAGACTGAAGAGATTTGCTATATTAGTGTGATGTAATTTGTGTTCTACTTACAATTAACTTTTAGAAAACACAATATTGTGACAATGAATTTGACATTTACATGGGACACAAATTACGTCATCACTACTACAGCGTATTGAATCAAAAGTAAATTGATAATAAGACGCCGAATGAATTCACTTATAATTTCATTCCTTTCCTGGAGTGATGAATTCACCTAATTGCTCTTTCTCGGTTTTACTACCGATCAATTTGAGCAAATATGCATAATATCGATTGATCAACTTTTAGAGTAAATATAACTATTTTTAATGCATAAAGTCTTTATTATTCTTACTTAGAACTAATGTTCAAATATACAGCAACTGGCAAAATCTTTTAATCGTAGTAACGATAAACTATCAGTTCAGAAGTTCTGAATAAGTTCGAAACTGATAATTCTTTTTCGTCTTTTCCAATTGTTACAAACGACCGTTACTACTAGTCTAATACTACGTTTGTTCGGAGTCTAGCATAGCTCTTAGTTTCGTATTGTACCTTAGCCCCTTTTTTTAGGGCCAAGGCAGACGCATTGGTCCTTGAAATCACACGTATAATAATTATAATTATAAAGATACTCGATGCACAGCTAATACGGAATGTAGGCAGGTCTGTCTACGTGAAAAACGGGGATAGTGTGATGATAAATATTAGACGTATTGTCAAAAAGAAAGATCACCATGACTAGATCTGCGCAAGATTCAAAAATATGAAAAAAAAAAAAATGCAAACCGAAAATAAAACATGCCGAATTGCGTCCGAAAAGTTACGGCATAGCTGTACCAAAGGATGTTTTGCAAGAAAATAATATTAAACGAATGAATGCTTTACTTATAGAAATGCTTGTTTGGCTAATAGTTAAAAATACTTAAAAGCTATCTTAAAAATTAAGTAGGTTTGATCACAAAATTTAAGTAGATCTGCCGTCGGTGAGTAAATTAATATCTAAACCTAAACTATCGTCGAATATCTTAGCAATTAAAAAAATATTTACAGATGTCGCATATCGTCGGTGTCGTTCTAATACCTCGTAACCCTCATTTGGACAAAAATGAGATTTTTACGTCAAATTGTTGCGGTTACCCATATTTACCATTACAGAAAACCTCGTAGCCCACAACATTTTTAAAACTTTAAAAATTTAACTTTTCTAATACCTCGTATAGTAATAGTAATAAATAAACAGAACGGTTTTTGGCTTCTCCTGTAAAATGTTACTTTTGGGCTTACGAGGTATTAGAACGACACCGGCGATATACGTTCTCTTCCACATGTAGCCACGGACACTTGTTAAACTCATTTAAACAGGACATGAATATCCGATGTATTCATTCACATTAGCAGTTACATAAAACGTCGTTGATGTTTACAAAAAAATTTTTTAAGACTTCGCATTTGAAAAATGTATATTAAGAGGATAATCAGAAATGCTCTAACCATACAAGCAACCTAAATTGATACTGGGACATGCATCAAGTTAAAAACAGTCACTGATCATTCTGCAGATTGGATGTATATCCACAAGATGAACGCGTCACGGTCAAAGTGGACCTTGCATCTCTGCCCCGTCAGAAAAATGTTCAACAGTTCTAATAGTTCAGAAAATCCGTTACAGAAACGTATCCTTTATCAAAGGAAGGAAATAGAGATACACATTCTGATGTTTAAATGGTTCAATAAGGGAAGATGAGTGATTGAAAACAAGTTAATGTGAAAATCCTTGTTAAACTCAGAAAATCCGATACAGAAACGTATCCTTTATTAAAGGAAGGAAATAAAGATACATACACAGATATTAAAGTGGTTCAATAAGGAAAGATCCGATACAGAAACGTATCTTTTATTGAAGGAAGGAAATAGAGATATACACTCAGATGTTTCAATGGTTCATTAAGGAAAGATAAGTGATTAAAAACAAGTAAATGTGAAAATCCTTGTTAAACTCAAAAAATCCGATACAGAAACATATCCTTTATTAAAGAAAGGAAATAGAGATATACACTCAGATGTTTAAGTGGTTCAATAAGGGAAGATAAGTAATTGAATACAAGTTAATGTAAAATTCCTTGTTAAACTCAGAAAATCCGATACAGAAACGTATCCTTTATTAAAAGAAGGAGAGATACATACTCAGATGTCTCTTCCACATTTAGCCTCGTTTTAAATTGCAAACTCAAAGACAACACTGACACTTGTGAAACTTGTTTAAACAGGACATGAATATCCTTATGTATTCACATTAATAGTTACACAAAACCTCGTTGATGTTTATAAAAAAATGTTTAAGACTTCGCATTTGAAAAATGTATATTAAGAGGATAATCAGAAATGCTCTAACCATACAAGCAACCTAAATTGATACTGGGACATGCATCAAGTTAAAAAAAGTTATTGATCATTCTGCAGACAAAGGATGAACGCTTCACGATCAAAGTGAACCTTGCATTTCTGCCCCGTCAGAAAAATGTTCAACAGTTCAAATAGTTCAGAAAATCCATTACAGAAACGTATCCTTTATTAAAGGAAGGAAATAGAGATACACACTCAGATGTTTAAGTGGTTCAATAAGGGAAGATAAGTGATTAAATACAAGTTAATGTGAAATTCCTTGTTAAATTCAGAAAATTCGATACAAAAACGTATCCTTTATTAAAGGAAGGAAATAGAGATACACACTCAGATGTTTAACTGGTTCAATAAGGGAAGATAAGTGATTGAATACAAGTTAATGTGAAATTCCTTGTTAAACTCAGAAAATCCGATGCAGAAACGTATCCTTTATTAAAGGAAAGAAATAGAAATACATACTCAGATGTTTAAGTGGTTCAATAAGGGAAGATAAGTAATTGAATACAAGTTTATGTGAAATTCCTTGTTAAATTCAGAAAATCCGATACAGAAACGTATCCTTTATTAAAGGAAGGAAATTAAAGATGCATACTCAGATGTTTAAGTGGTCCAATAAGGGAAGATTCGTGATTGAATACAAGTTAATGTGAAATTCCTTGTTAAACTCAGAAAATCCGATGCAGAAACGTATCCTTTATTAAAGGAAAGAAATAGAAATACATACTCAGATGTTTAAGTGGTTCAATAAGGGAAGATAAGTAATTGAATACAAGTTAATGTGAAATTCCTTGTTAAATTCAGAAAATTCGATACAGAAACGTATCCTTTATTAAAGGAAGGAAATTAAAGATGCATACTCAGATGTTTAAGTGGTCCAATAAGGGAAGATTCGTGATTGAATACAAGTTAATGTGAAATTCCTTGTTAAACTCAGACAATTCGATACAGAAACATATCCTTTATGTTGCTGTTGCTGAATTATTAGAAATCAAAAAGAAAGCGATGGTTTTTTCATGCACTGTCTGTTAAGGGGTTTTTAGCCAAGCATTAAGATCCCTGTAGTAGAACATCTACCCGATCCTGCCTCATGCGATTTTTCTGTATTCCCAGCATCGAATGGACCCAGATTTGAAACAAGAGGCAGAGATTAAAAAAGAGAAGAACAACATGTTTTCAAAAAATTATTCAGTAGCACTGCTTTCGTGGTGGGAATCATTTTAAAGTTGTGAAATTTTTTTTTTTTATAAAATTGATCCAGTATTTTCTAATTGGAAGAGGATTGAACTCAATTTATACAAAAAATAGTAAAACAGATTTGAAGGGTCAAATGGATAAAGAGACTGATGAGTTACTTTGCAGAGAAGGATAGAATTTTGTTGTTTGCAGTTATAGATGTATCTTAACGGTCTATTTTTACTACACTTGTGTTGGTGCAAGTGAAACAAAGTTATGAGTAATACAAGGCTAGTGTTAATGCTTAATTTTCTGGTAATTTTCCATAAGGAAGATAGATGATAATTTGGCGCTAAATGTTTGTAAATAAAATACAGGTATACAAATGATTTCCTGGAATTAAAAAAAAACCGTTACGATTGTTTACTGTTGCTATGCAGGCAGAGCCGTCTTCAAATATTTTTAAATTCGTTTATATAATATACTGAATGAATAAAATATATTGTTGTTCTTATCGTCGGTCTTTCATGATTTGTCTCCTTTGTCCATCTGCAGCACCAATATTTATCTTTCAGTGTGTTATGAATAAATTCATATTTTTTTTGTAATACTTAATAGTTTTAAACAAAAGTTCCAGGTAGAAACACAAAAGAATGATTTTATGAACATTATTGTTTATCCACTTGTCCCTTCATTTTCGAAAAATACACTAGGTTGCCCAAATCAATAGGAATTACCACAAAACCAGGCAATATTTAACTGTGGAGGAATGAACACATCCAGTCAAAAGGTACAATTAGTGTAAAAACATCAACAAGGGTGTCCTGCGTCCTAAGATTCATTATTTGCTTTAACAAATGCATCAATATAAAGCAATTCCCACACATTTGAACATAATTGCATACAATTCTAACATTTGCAACAACCAACTGCATTCAAGATGTTTGTTATCGTCTTAAGATCAATCACAGGAGTGAATCTTGCGGTACAGAAAGAAGGACCAGAAATTAGACATTAATACACCAGAAATTGTCTTCAAGGGGGACTTAAAGGCGACAAACTGACTGAAATAGTCTTAAGAAAGTCACGTAACACACAGGAGTTGCAAGAAAAAGAGTATTAAAGCAAGAAGAAGAAATGGAAGAAGTATTTGGTTATCAAAATGAGTAATATTGGACAACGTTAAATGTTTTCCTCTATAATGTACATTCTTCAATGTTATCTTAATCATTTAGGTTTTAATAGATTTAATTAACATCTTAGCATTATAAAATGCAATATTTTCCTCCGCTTTTCTTTAAATTATAAAAAAAACCCTTAAATATTTGTTCATCTTTTTAAAACCACTGTGGTTTCGAAATATTATATACCTTGATCAAAGGTAATGATTACACAAGCATTTCAGCAAGTAAAGCACTTCCTAATGTTCTAAGCCTAAAAAAATCGAATGAATATGAGATCGTTGAACATATTAATATCTTTAAGTAGCGATAACGTGATGAACTCGATTACAATGTAAAAGTACCGTCCTATCAGTCAAAAATGATGTAAAATACAATAAATTAGGTACTAAAATAATACAATAACTTAAGTACACTCAAACACAACCATTTTAAAATCGTTCCGTTTTAAATAATAATTAAGTGTTCGATTATTGCCATTCGACAGGAATATCAACGATTACAATACGGAAATTAATTTTAAAAACAGCACTGATTCTCATTTCTCAAAATTTTTAATACTGATTTATTGCGAGTTATTGCCGAGATGCTAAATGAGCAGAAGGCGGCATCAAACCGATTTGTTTTTTTAAAGAGTATTCATTTTTATTCAATAAGCGAAAGAGTGATGCTTTCAGAAAACTGCCCACAGCATGTCGCAATGAGAGATTCTATTTACAGAAAAATCATCGTATATTTATTCTGTTACAACATATTGAGAATAGGCACAAGACGCCGCCATTGACAATTACAAGGAAAAAATTACCTGCATCTATTTAGTGATATACGGTTATGATTAATTTTAAAATATATATCCAAAAGTGTCAACGATTTCATTACCGAAATTAAAAAAATATCTCAATAAATCTAGCAAACAGCCAGTACATCATCTTGGATTCGTGGAAAATATAGAAGAACGCTGGATAAAAAATCTAACGCACAAAGTGTAAACCGAAACCATTGCATGGGAATCGATACGTCCCAGTATTTATGAGCCTTATTATTCATCTTATATTGCTTGTAATACTTTTTAAAAGCAGTATGATATGTATTATGAACAGTTTTGTTTTATGTAGACAACCAATTAGCTAAAAATTGATGAATTCTTGCTATTGTAAAAGTAGACTGGATCAAATGTTATAAATACTAAGAGAAACGCCAGAAATATCAAATAATTCAGAAAAGAAAGTGAGAAATCCTTTTACTATCGGGTAAGAAGAAAAAATTAGAACGAAACCAGCATAAAGGCAAAATAGACCAGGAAAGATTCATTAAAATAGCATGGAACAATCTCCAACAGGGTGAAGAAACGGACAACTTGGAAGAACAATGTAAATGCTAAATTTAGGATACACTGAAAGAACTAGTTATCTTCTTATATCCTTTCTTATTAAACGTTGTATTGTAGGGCCTCAAAGATAAAATCTTTTAAATAAAGGAAATATTTTGAGAGGTTTTGTTTGGAAATTAAAAAAACCCTTTAAAGAAATTACAAATCCTAAATCGCTAAAGAATATTTAAAAATGCATTTTATTGGAAAATTTGTGGAGTAAGTGTTGACTGAGTAAGAAGATAATCAAAAGAAAGATTCCTGTGAATATGGGATCAAACTTCACAGGAGTATTGGTGGAATAAATAGAATTGATCCTAGGTATAATCTGCCTACTCTAAGAGGCGAATAAAAAATGGGTGATTCTAGAGACACATTTTGGGAACGTTATCCAGATGGGATTAAGACTATTTATGTGTTATACAGAGAGAAGCTGCAACATCACCAAGAAGAACTACGCCAAGAACTATTTTTATTCTTATTTTAAATTTTTCATTTTTAAAGCCATATTTATATTAAACAATTGTTTAATAGCCAACACGATCTTCACTGTTGATTTCCGTTTTTTTCCTGTTATATAATTATATCAAAATGAGTCAGATCACAGCAAAATATCTGTAATTGGTCGATAAAAAAATCAAAACTTTGCCTTAAAACATTATTTAGTATTTTATTCTATATTGCTCATTTTACACAAAGATATGTATTCAACATATATTGTCATCAGCTTAGTAAGGAGAAATTCTGTATATCACTTTGTGCTTATTAATTTTTGTAAAAAATTATTTTTTAAAATTGTTATTTTTCGTTTTTCATATATTGTAAACAAATCCAAGAAGAAGTACCTATTCACTTTTAACAATATTAACTATTTCTACTGTCATATATTCTGCTAGTTTAAAATTGAGCACAACATACAGGTACTCCATAAATACTATCAATTTTTCACTTGTCCTACAAAATTTGTAAATAAAGTACAATTTACGCAATGTATAATACTAATTTTATTGTCAATAATTGAAAAAGAAAATATCCTTCCTTTATGCCGGCGCGAATTTTCAAACCGCTTAGAAAACTTTTGGATACGATTTTAAAATTAAAGAAGATGCAGGATTCAGCCCCTAATGGAAATGTATCGTTTTTTCTGGAAGTCCTTTCACAATAAACAACTAATACAAAAGAATAAGTAAACAATGTATGAGCATTTAGACATACATGCCGACGCCGTACATAGATCCCCAATCTACGCCTTGGAATGATGACATATCGACATTGGTAAGATTATATCCTTGGTAAGGACTGGCTGGAACAGGTGGTGCCAGTCCTTGGGGTGGAGCACCTTGGGGTGCCTGTCCGGGATTGTTCGCACCCGCCGCTCCTGCGCTCATTGACGATAGAGGATACGGTGAGTAACGGTAGCTGGCAAGATGCGGGTATGCTCCAAATAATTTTCCATAGGTTGCTAGCGCCATTGGTTGAGCTTGAGCAGCTGCCGCTGCAGCTTGTACTGCCTGTAAATGAGCTTGCGCTTGGCTGTTCAAACTTAATGGATTTACGGTGGTTAACACGCCTCCCGGGGCAGGGGCTATTGCGCGCATGCCCAAACCGGTCAACATCAAACGCTTGCCTAATAGTTGGGCGCTCGCTTGGACTGCTTCTTTCGGTTGGGCTTTCTTGCATTCCACCTGAAAATACATAAATACAATGAAAGTCGTTAGTAACAACTTATGAATTGAATTGCGCGGTACGGTAAAGGGAATTTGAAAAAATGGCAACCCTTAGTCAATATTAAAAATCACTGGTAAGCTCATCACTACTACATATATACTTAATACAACTAACCTTTTTGTTCTTTATAGTATGAAAATGGATCTCGCACACTCTATCGACGACATCTTCGTTCTCGAATGTGACAAATCCAAATCCTCTGTGTCTCTTTGTCTGTTGGTCCATTAACATTACAGTTTCTTCGACCTTTCCGAATTGACTAAAATAGGCCTTGACTTCGTCGGCCGAAGTGTCTTGACTGACACCTCCTACGAAGATTTTTTTCGTCTTGTTAGGCTGTTTTGGTCGATTCTTAGGCGTAGCGTGTTTCGGATCTATCTTTTTGCCGTCCAACGTGTGAATTGGAACTTTTAGAACGTTGTCTACGCTCGACGGTTCTGAGAAAGTGATGAAACCGAAGCCTCTGCTCCTCTGCAAATGTTAATTTTAATGAGGACATTGTATAATTAAATTTTATAGATCAAAATAATCCTAAATCGTTGTATTGGAGCACATATTCGCTCCGTGCGTGACAGCAGCGGTAATTCATTTATGTACTAATGGACTATTTTTGCTTATACTGACAATTTTTAATAGAATTTGTAATTAAAAAGTGTATATGTTAGTTTTAATAAAAGTATATGGATTTGTAAAACAACTAAAACATTAATTTTTTATTATTATTATATATTTTATCGCTTAAATTAAAAAAAAAAAAAAAAAAATAAGAAAAATAAGTTGTCTTTGAAGAATTAACCTATTCTGTCAAAATAAAAAATACCATTAATAATAGCGTGAAGTAAAAATGTATAAATAGAAAGATTTTATTCATATTTTCATTTTTGTTTGAAAAAAACCATAGAATGAATGATTTCCTATCAGTAAGTTACAAAATTGCATTCCAGCCACATACAATAATCAAAGGCAGAAATCTAGTTCTTGCTGAATATTTAAGATTAAACGAATGTTGAAAAACATCGAAAATGATAATTTATTGTTTATTTAAAACCTTTCAAGTTTCTGATGTCTACTATTTTCAGTATTACTGTTATTATTACCAAAATAAAAATAATTTTTCTTCTTACTGTACACCTATCCATTTGATTTAATTACCACTGGGCTACTGAAATTTTTTATAATTTACACTGTTTTTTTTACTATAATTTTTGTATTGTTTTTACCTACTTTTTGAAAAAAACGTAAAATGTATACGTGTATTTGATATGCCAAAATTACAAAATATCGCCCTAAAATGCAAGAATTATCTGCAGACAGGGCCGACTAGAGGGGGGGGGGGGGGTAGCCGGGACTAATTCCCGGGGACCGGCAATCGAATGTTCGGCACAAGACGAGAGGGAAGTGTTTTTTTTTTTTTTAGAAATTTCAATTCAAGTAGAACAGGAACAGTTTTTGTTTGAAGACTTTTTTTTCACGGGGCCCGAATCTAGAGAATTGTCCTGGGGCCCGGCCTGGCTCTCGGCGGCCCTGTCCGCAGATAGCGCTAGTATCGCTTTTGCTTCTCATGCCATGACTTCGCACTGAGCGAATACCTCATATCTTGTAAATCCATGAAATTGTTTCATCCAGTTTTATGGTGAAACATGTTGTAACCTTTGACTTTAACAAAGCGTTCAAACTGGCATGACACTATTAAACAGAATTCCTACTAAGATGCGTTCTATTGGGGTATTCTTAAATCTGATGACAGAAATTTTAACAAAAACGAGACAAAAATATAATTTCGGTATATTGGAGACAAAGATAGAACCATTTTTTATTCCATCGAATGTCCTGATGAATTCATGTGTAATTCAAGTCTATCTCTTACACCAACACTATTTACATCTAACGGCTTTTTAATAGAATATCCACAAAAGCCACATGTAAGCTTAAAATGTTGGGTTTTGGATTCATTGAATTTAAATGCAACAAGTAATTCTTCGAAAAAATTAAACATAAAAAAAGAAAGAATTAAATGAGAAAGTGGACCCTTTTCCCAGATGGACTATATGGTTTACACGGACAGCTCCAAAACGGAAAAGGAGTAGTTTGGGAGTTTTCGCCCAGAAGCCAAGAATTAACATATCAATAAACCTAGACACTCTGGCCACGATCTTCCAATCAGAAATGATTGGGAGACAGTTGATTAATTTTCTCCCCGCTAGCAAAACTATAAAGATAGCCTCGAAGCCCTCAAGACCCTGAGCTTCAATCGAGTTGGCTCAAAGCTGTATAAATACCCTCAAGTGTCTCGGTACCCCGATTAAAGTTACTTTGATCTAGGTTCTGAGACTGCAGTGTGGAAGGCAATGAAAAATCTGACGCGCTTGCTAAAAGAGGAATCTAATCTGAGTTTATAGGACCAGAACCATTCCTGAGCATTGCAAAGAACACTGCCAAAGAAATTATTTCAAAATGGACAACGGATATAATACTCATAAACTGGAAAAATACCCAAGAGCTAACTCTTTCAAAAGTCGTTTATATCCAAACTTTTCCAGGAGTAGGAAAGAGCTACACGCATTCTCACAGATCAGACAATCGATTCTTCAGTGTAGAAGACGAATCTGCAGAGTCCTGTGTACCTGCTCTTCTTTGGAAAAAACTAGGCTCCATGCCTTTGAATTAACCGGACTGGAGCTCACCAACTTTAAACAAGTCTCACACAATTCAACCATGGCCCTTCATCAAAAGGTGTGGCTTGTATGGTGAACTATAAGTTAGACATGAGCCACGATATACACATATGGGTCACATTGGAAGGCGTTGATATCCTTCCCATTCATTTTCAACCTAATCTCTATATAAAAAAACTTTTTGATGTGAAAGCTACCAAAACTCTTTGACGATAACCACACAATGCTCGTACATTACATGACAATATTATAAACAGTTATAACGACAGCATTATCTCGACATTAATGTCATCATGAGAACAAGTCTTAGTGCACGCCAAGAGTGTACTCTTGAGTTATTTATAATGTTGCACAAAGATTTATGGATGCAATTTGTTGTATGTCTTCAGACCATCCTGCTTATATCGTTTAGCGAGCATGACACCAAAAGCTGATCTTAAGGAGGACTAGGAACTCAGAAATAATGTCCAATTTAATACTTCTAAAACTCAATTCAGCATTCTATCATCTAACTAGCACCAAACATTACTGTGCTTACAAAGTAGAGCTATCTCATCGTCTGCTGATTCCAACCTTGTTTAAAGTCTCTTTACCAGCGAACACAGATGATGACTGTCCTTATTTGTCCATTTTTTAGTCCAATAAGTTATGACCGTAATTTTGCTTAAAACAAAATATGATATAATCACTAGTCTTATAAACTTTCATGCAAAAATTACAAAAAATAGGTTTTAAACTACGACTAAAGATGTATAATAATGATTCTTACCTGTGTAACTGGGTCTTTCATGATCAAGACGTCTGTAACATTGCCAAACATTCCAAAGTACTCCTTGAGTTTGTCGCTTGACGTTTGCCAACTCAAACCGCCGACGAAGAGCTTTCCTGGAGCAGGATCATTGGAATTATTTGGGGTGCTGCGACCAGAAGAACCAGAATGGCTGCCATTTATAGGTACTAAGGCGTTGTGTAGTTCATGGTGGTCGATGAGACCGTTTCCTTCACCCATACCAGAGCTGCAAAGAACAAAATAATAATTTAGTAAGAGTGTTTATTGTTGCAATATATTAGAAATTGAGATATGCAAATGATCCTCCATAATAAATTCAAGGTGACGTTATATTTTTATGATGAAAGTGTAATTTTTCCAATAGGATGAAAAAATACTGGATAGGTGCTGATTGCAGTTAAGAAAATTGTTACATTTGAACTTAAAAGTGTTGTGACACTGTATAAACTATGTTTCTACAATATTGTCGTTTTCTGATTACAAAATATGATTGATCTTGACCTCGAGCCTTTATTTTAATTTAATAAAGCTCTAATTACCGTAATTAGTAAAATTACTATTTACTTTCAATCATGTAAAAGTAGTATCAACCCATATCGTGAACCCTTTTAAAAAATTAAACGGGTTAGCGTTATTTTGATATTAATGGAACAATCCAATGTTATTGATATCTATTATTCATTCTCGGCATAAAAATGTAATTTCCAAACTGCTTATTATATAAGTTGACAAACTAAATAATACATTCTTTAAATAGAGTAAGCTCAATAATTTAAAACTATTTTTAAGCACTATAAAATTTCAACTTTGTAGAAGGTATTACATTAACTATAAAAAGAGTAAGATCAATAATTTCAAACTAATTGTAAGCACTTACGTTACTAAAAAAAGGTTGTTTTATATTATCCTTAGATCAATACGTATTAAAAATGAATAACTTCAGTTTAAAAACCTGTATGTTTTAAAAAATTGACGCCCCGCCATTTTATCTGGAACACATAATGGCCATTGTTTTCAAGCGTTGCTGAATGCAAAATTTAGTTTAAAAACTTTGTAACGCTCTTATATATCGACCCTACAAGAATAGGGAAAAGTATCAGGGCCTGATAAAGCTAAAAAGTTCGTAACTCGTGATAAATGCCTCGGAAGCCTTCAGATGCTTTATCTCGCAAATTATTCATTAATATCATTCCTATTTAATAGTTTATCGCGTTAATTTAACAATCGTTAGTATTAAGTCTTGCGGTTCAAGACAAGTTTTGTAATTCGTTTGGTATTGATCACGGTGTACTATAAGGTGTATCAACTCCTATTTAAAAACAAATGAAAACGGCGATAAAACCGATCGTACTTCCTAGCTAAAATCCGCTAGGTTCGCTAGTATCTATCCGGCGAGAAAGTAAATAAAAGATGAAGGTGGTAGGAGCTGCAATTTGAAAAGTGTTGACAGATAAATTTTTTTTTAAAATCTAAAAATATATAAATCATGGTGGATCGTTGAGCTGTTTTTAATTGTGATTATGGGAGAGAGTCTTCAACATATTGATAGCAGTTTTATAATGCCAAAAAACAGTTATACAGAATATGGTGCAATTATTTAGGTGGTATGGAAATAAACATTAAACCCAAAAGTTCCATTTGTGAAAAACATTTTAATGTAAATTATGTTATCCGTGAAAAAGTGCTAAGAAATCTACTAGGAAACGTTATTTTTCAAGTAAATATGTTTAATGTCTACCTTTTAAATGATTGTAGGTTATGTAAATAGGTTATTCAACTTTGTCTTTTCTGTAATAAAAATAATTATTAGTATAAAGTTTTACTATATAAATATTTCGTATTATTTATCCTGTCCCCTTGGTACTAATAATGTTATGACTTGGACCCTATTATAATGTGTTCATGGTATAAATTTCATATACACAAGGTACCTATTTTGATATTTTTCTGACCCTGTGAATAAATAAAATCTTTGACTTATTCCTTTTAGCCTGATTATAATGCTAGAAAGTTGTATCTGGTTATAAGAATCAAATAGATACTATGATAAATTTATTTTACTTGTAGCCTTTTTATTTTCAAGTGTTTAAATATACATTTGTTTAATAATAATCATCCCCGAATGTGTTTTGTTCCAGTTCTTTAAATGTATTTACTAGGTTTTTATAGAAGTACTGATTTTAAATTAATACAAATTTGAGTTGTAAGAAATATTTAAGATTTTTCAATTCTGTATTTTTATAGGAGTTAATCCCTTTAAGTAAATAAATGTAGTTTGGGGTCGTAGATGTTGGTATTTGTGTATTGAATAATTTGTACATACACTGGTTAATAATTTAAACAATGTTTTTTCTGATGTACCTAATAATTATTTAAGGTTATCTTGTAGTTGAGGAGTCTAGAAATCCGCATATTCACACCATTCCGCACTGAATGAAGTCTAGAATTTGACACAAATTTGAAGTTAAAAATAACGATCCTATTACTTGAAAATCTACAATTTTTTTATTTTTAATCGATGAAAAAATTGGTAAATACATGATAAAAAGTAAAAGTTATTTCAATATGCTTATTCCCTGGTTCCAAATAATTAAATATAACCTTGCAACTATATGTTACGATTCCAACTATCAGAACTAGCCGGAACAAGAATGGTGCATTTCCAGACCCTTCAATTATAAGATTACCATTATTTAATGTGCAGTGCAAATATAAAAAAAACTACCTAAAAAATTTGGTTCCTGCTTTTATTATTTATGATGGGACTACTACTCGAAGGAGACGAGAATGTGGAAAGTATTGCTGATACAGTTATCGAAGTTATCCACTGGAGGTGAAGTGTTAATCTTTTAGGAATATAGGAAATATTTTTTTATACCTAACAACTTAATATTTATTTATTGATAAGTTATAGATAATATGTATTTGAAATTCAGAGTAATCATTATGACAGCAGCATTCTTATTGTATTCGGATTCTAACACAAATAAAACATCTCATTAAATTTTTGTTAAAATTATTAATTTATTAATTTTACACTAGAAAGAAAATTAACAATACACACAAAATTATTTAGAAATAAATACAATTTACACATTTCCCATTATTACACTTTTATTTTCTTAATTTATTCATTTCTTATATTAACAATTTCAATTAATAATATAGTTCATTATTTAATTGGAACTAATTTTATAATTTTACTAATTATTTTTTTATATATATTTATTTGCGGAAAATGAAATATTAAATAAAAGCATAGGAATTGTTCTATTGGATAATAGCAGTAATGAAAAAATAAGTAGGAAAATTTCAAATGTATAGTTTCCAGATTTATTATGAGTTTTTTATATTAATGTACTCAATAAGTAGGTTTATTATGTTCGCTTGTACACGTCACAGCAGCAGACAGTAACAAACCTGGCAACACTTCTGATTTCAGAAAAACATTACAACAATTTGTTTTACATTATATATTTCAATAATATAATAATCATTTATATTTAATTAATGACAAGGTTTACTTTTTAAATAAAACTATATAAGCCCTGTCCCGTTTCAATTAGCACACTTCTCATATTTATAGTGACTGTCACTACAAGAACAAATCATACATAAATCTGATAAATTCTTTTATTTTTTTAACCCTTTCACTTCCACTTTCATTAAAAAAAATACCATTGTAGTAGATTGTATGTTTTCTTTGTTTATTTTAAGTAAATTAAAATATTTTCATAGTATTTTTTATTACTCCAAGACATAACGTCCCTGTTCAGGGACATTACACAAACAAAAATTTACTATGAAAATAATTTTTTTTATAATATTAATCCTTAAAAGTAACGCAAATAAAGTAAATAAACCAAAAAGAAAAAAATTCTACCAAAATTAACAGATTTATACTTCAGGGTTAATTAAGAGTGTCCTCTGGAGGGACAAATACACTGAAAGGGTTAAATATTTACAAATTTTCATGAGTGTTTCACCACCTTTAACTTTGATAACGGCAATAATTCATTAAAACATTGTATTTACAAGTTCTTGAAAATCTTGTGCATGGAACCTACTCCATATTTTTAGATTACCCATTTGAATTAATTCTGGCAGTGATCTTGTGGGTGCTGCACGCCTCTGCTTAAAAATTATCACCCCATATACAAAAAAGCATCTTTATTAAATGAACAAGAAACTAAAAAAAAATAAGCATTATTAAAAACTACAAAAAGTGCATCATTTGAAAATCCATATTCAAGCTCCAGATTTGTAAAATTAAAAAAAATTCCAAATACACATTTAACTTGTTTGATTATTTATTGAATAAAAGGTCTGTTCCAACGATCAGAAACAAACCACTGGGTAGTACACAATTTTGCAGTCTCAATAAACTACTGTGCAGAATCCTGATGTCAGTAACTCATTTCTGAGCATTGTTGGAACAAACCTAAAGTAAATCGAAACCACTTAAAAACAAGCACAACATTTATACTCGAGCAAATTTTTAATTCCTATCAAAATTTTTAATTACTGAATATTTTGTTCTAGTTATATTAAAATTTAAAAGTTCTTACTCTTCATTATAATTATATTTTTTATTTTCCCTATATACCTACATACTATCTCTAACATTTTACAAATTTGATGCCTAATTAAAGATTTCATTGCAGCATTGCAGAACATAAAACGTTTTTCACATTTGTATAAATCTTCTACATCTGTCATATTAGGATAACAAGATTGTATCTAGACAGCTAGTTATTTTTTGGAGTTGAAGTTTGTATAGCCATTAACTTGTTTGATTTTCATTGTGTTTCTAACTCTAATTTAAGAGAAAATCTTAAGTGATAAAAAATGCAGAAAGAACTAAGCGACCTACATTTTTTAGAATATTTGATAAAGCATAGTAGTAACTGCCAGTTAAAACTGTGTTTCTAGTATTTAGTTTAGGTAACAGAGACAAGGCTTGGAACAGAAAATACATACTTTTGTTAATTCAGAATTTTTAAATGTTGTTTTATATTATACATCTTTCTAGGTATCCTCTATAATTTTTTTTATAATTTTCAATCAAAACTGTTTAAAAACAAAAAGTTTAATAAAAAAATACCCATTATATTTAATACGGTTTATGCTCTAAAACTCACTGTTCTTTTAATGGCAGATTTTTTAACCTCTGAGTAAAGTTATGCATAAGTATAATCTATAGCCTAATCAGCAAGTAGTTACTTTCAACTTTATTCAGAGGTAAAAACCTGGCCTTTAATCTTAATATAATTGTGGAGGATGGAGACTACATTTGCTAGGGATTAGGGAATAACAAAGATCTAACTACTATAATGACACTTGCTAAAAACTGTATAAGTTCTATGTACATGCAGATAAAACCATGTGAATAACTTTAGTGCTTCGATAACACAACATTGATAATTAACAGATGAACATATTGGTCACAAAAACAAATTAATTAATATATTCTACCAATCTCATTTTTTCCAAAAAGTACAGTTACAACCTTGTTATTCTTTGAGATGTATTTATTACTGATACTTATTAATAAAAATAATTATAATAATAATTGATATAGGTACTTACTGATCTTTGGAAACATATATACTCCAGTCCAGTGAGACTTCATTATTCTGGTATAATGCTATTTCACAGAAATGTTTGTAATTCCAATCACTATGTATGGATTTGATTATAGTAGGTATAAAACTAAATGTTTATTGAATATCTTTAATCTGGGCAATGAAAACCACAAAACTCACTTTAAAAATAATAAGCTTCAATCTGAGTACCATAGTTAAGGTCCACTTCTTCATTTTATAATCTGTAACCCACTGTATTGCTGTTTTTGCCAAAGCCAAAGGTAATATTTGAACACAAAACAAAATCAGCTGTTTTTTATAAACACCCCCATTTCACTTATTTAGTAGCAAGTCTCTGGCAGCAACTTGTAACTTAATTGGAGCATATTTATTAAATCTTGAACACTTTTTTTGATCCTATAAACGCACACATCAGTGTAGCTTGTTTAAAAAAAACACTTATAAGCAACCATCAATAACAATAAACTTATTTGTTGACCATTAATTTTTTCATCTGTACTTCTTCTGATAGTTTTGTTATTTTTCATTTCATATAAACTCGAATTTTCACCATCACCAACTATTTTTATGATTGCACTTTTTCTGACAGATAAAAAGATTGCCGCAATTTTCCGCCGTAACGACACTAGCGAACCTAGCGGATTTTTGCCCTAAGTACGACCGGTTTTGGTATGTTTTTTTCAGGGAGTTGAAACACCTTTATAGTGCGCCGTGGTATTGATTATAATTATCTGTCATTTATGTTTGACTTATATATTTTATTTTGTTTTAGGTTATACCAATTGTAATGCTTGCCGTTTGTGACATGTGCTGGGTCACATTTTGTACCGTGCAGTGTTTTATAAGAACAAACATTGTTGCGTGGGTATTATTTTTACTAAACCTTTTCTAATATAACACTGCTAGTTTTAACCACATATAGATGCTATTTACACATTTAGTTGGGCTTTTACAGTCGAAGCGTGGTGGCTATTGTGTTTGAGGGAAAACGAGTCACGGCTGAAAGTATCAGATTACTGCCAAAATGAGTACATTTTCCCATCCGATATGTGAACTACCCCTATTTGATATTTAACTTCAAATAAAGTTTTTGTAATTGAAAAAATCCACATGGTCCGGCAGGATTAGAACCTGTGGGTATCTATCATAACTACGCTGATACCCTAACCGCTCAGATCTAGACCCAAATATAAGTAATAAAACAGTAGCGACAGTTTATTGTTTATGAGGGTTCCATATTTTTCTGCGCATGTCTGTAAATAAGCGGCAAATACTTCAAACTGACATATGTAAATTGTCAATTGATTAATTGTCGTTGATTGTTTTGATTGTCTCATTCGTTCTAATGCACATATTAATACATTTTAATTATATTTAGACTTTTATTTATTTTGTGATATTTTATTCAAACAGACAAAAGGACAAGAAATTTTGAAGTTACTTTTTTTAGTGTAGAAATAAGCGACAAAAACTTCAACTTTCAATAAAAATCTGACCACTCCGACATCAAAGGAACCGCCTCAAGCTGTCGCTACTGTATTATTAATTATACTGGGTCTAGACATTAATTTGAACGGAAGAATGACGTTATCCACAATTTTATACAGTGACTAAAAACATTGAAAGGAATCTGTCTACTAGTTTGAAAATGAATCTGTCCTATCAAACTAACGTCTTGTTGATCTAAAATCACTGACGCTATTATGATGGTCGAGAAGTAAAGGTGCGTTTATAACTGACAGTTATTGCATGATATTTGTATCAGACACACATACTTTGATTACTATATGGTGTAAGAGAGAGGTCCGACACGCCCAACATAGGGCGCGACCATTTTGATGCCTTTACCACAGTTTATAGCTAAAGAATCAGTTTGCTCACTCTGCGTCGGCACTTTTGATCTCAATGTTCCAGTTTATACACTGCGCAACTCGGATAATACAATATATGACAACCGCCTATAATAAAACAGCAGTCCTCTGCGCATCCTGAATTTATATCCCTGGAGTGGATGTTATTTTGGAACATTCAACTGGTCCGAGTGAGCTAACTGATTATTTAGCAATAAACTGTGACTCGAAAAATAATATTCACTGACACTGACAGCAGCAAGCAAAATATTACAAATATTGTGCCAAGATGTAGGCAACACGTAATAAGGCATCAAAATTGCGGAGTTTTCTCTCCTTTTAAAAGGCACTCAGAAAGCTGCGCAGTGCGACCACTCTCCGTATAGTAAGAGAAAATCAAAGTATGTGGTCAGATAGAAATCGTGAACAGTAAAGAATTTATGTCAGAGATATATATTTCTACTATCAGCTATAAGTGTCTACATATCTATACCAACAGATGTAAACACTGATTTTTTGCAGGTAGTTGACTTCTCGTCTTTTTTTGTCATTGTGCAATAAGTGTCAAGTAAATATGGCGGCAAAGTTACAGCAAGCCGTTTTGTTACACTAATAGCTTTTCGAAATTTGGTATCTTGCTTTGATATAAGAGGGCAAATTTTACAAGCAATCTTTTCGAAATCAGCTTGTCTCATTCTTTAAAAAATTGAAAACTGTGCTGGGATCCTCAATACTGAGTTTCACGTCTCAAAATCCACTCTCAAACTAACCCCTTTTTGACTAATAATTCATTTACTAGGAAGTAGATATCTCGTGTAGCTAATTGTCCATGATTTTTCTTCTCCAAGTATATCACAATACATGTACTGCAGTTTACTCCTTTTCCTGATAGAACCGGCACAGGGTCTCTTTTGCCAGGCCGGCCATGATCAACCTGCGGCCCACGGGTCGCATGCGGCCCGCCAAGCTTTATGTGCGGCCCAAAACACTATTATTAGGAAGCTAATTTTTCAAAATTGGATTTAGTTTTTAAAATCTTGAGCGAGACCATTCATCGGTCGCTGGATGGTCGTTTGGATGTATTTAGGTTTTGTATTTTATTTAATACATGCGAAGTAAAATGAAAAATCAGGTCTACACTAATTTTAAATTGACCCAAAAATGAGGCTGCCTGTGTAATATAGCAAACATATACATGTGGCCCTAAGAAAGAAAAAGATTGAGTATAGGTACCAGGCTAATGTTATGCATATATTAACCCTACAATTCCTTGCCTATTGTCTAGTATTTTTATTCCTTCTTAGTAGATGCTCAGTCAGTTTTACAATGGTCTTTTTATGATCTATCTGGCCTGACTGTTCCACCATTCCTGATTTTTTTTTTAACATCTACTGCGTCGTGCATGTTCTGATAGCTGTCTTTGTGACACCATAGAAGAGTTGTGAGCCAAAAAGAGCCTTTAAGGCTACTTCTCGGGTTAGTAAACCTCTCTTTATTGTCTTTGTGTCATCTATTGCCATGCACCCAGGCTAAAGATAGTCAATTTTGACTACACAGCTCTGTTAAGAATTCCAAACAGTTCCACACAAGTTTTGAGTGTATCTGCATAGAACCGAGTTTGACTGTCGGAGAATATGACAATGCTTCTTCCTTATGTCTTAATTCAACTTGTGTGCAGTGATTTATTGCTATTATTTATTTCTGCCACGCGTCAGTATCTATGGCTTGGCACTATACACTACTCCTGCTCCTTCATTGTTGGTTGGAGCCGCCTGTATACCAGGTGATTTCTCCGTAAATAGGAAATCATCAATTTTCTGTCCACTGTACTTACTTTATTTGGTTTTTGAAAGTTATATCTTGGAGGAACATTTCATCTTAAAGCATTCCCAGTATTTGGTCGTTTTTCAACTCTTTACATAGCTCTTAGAGTATGTGTAGTATTCTATAGTATGTGACAGACCTAAGCTTCACTTTAAGTGAATATATTATTTAGGGATAGGTAAGTTGTCCAAAATATGTAAACTCGAATCTCGCCAAATATATTTTTAACTTCAATTTAATTATAAGAATATCTAAGAGATCTTTCAAGAAATAAAGTACCAAATGTTATGAAACTTTGATCACGTGATTCTAGTAGAACAGATGTGTCCGACGTGGATAAATAAACAATCGAGATGTAGAAAATGCATCGGATGTGGATATTCAAAAGCAGCAATAGTAGGGTTTTGTAGACAAAGTGGAACAGACTGCCCTGGTATATTATTTAATACTATCATTATTTTTAAAATTATTTAGCAAAAATAATGTATCTCCTTTAACAAACTTTAAAAGCAATAACGTCAAAAACTGATTCTTAACATCAATGTAAATTCAATTTCACAAGTGTCCTTTAAAGGACTCGTTCAATCCATCCGATATTTTCGCTGAATATTCAAAGTAAAGACCTTTAAAAGAATATTCCGACAATATCGAGGATCCCTACTCGAGTACACTGTACAATACAAAGGACGTTCGTTAAGTCGGCGGACAGGCCGATTTACTGATAGAATGTCGAAGGAATAAACGAAATGTCAAATGAAAAAGGGGAATAAACGAGCCAATTCAAGGGGGAATATACCTTCATGTCGATATGTTATGTTACAGAACGAGGTGGGACAGGCGAGATCGAGACAAGTTAGAGCTTCTGATACAACCGAAAAATAGGAAGGTGAGTATTCAACATTTCTAGCACTAACGTAGGGGTCGTATCTAATTTTAGTTCATTTAAAAATTGACTGATATAATTCTTATACTTATATTCGGAAGGAAAATTTCCCTTCTACTGTTGAATCTCGCGCGGTAGCAGAGTATTTATGCCATCACTTGTTCTCGGCTCTAACTTCAAAATTTACGTGTTGAAAATTGCGTACTTGTATACTTTTAGGGTCTGATTATAATAAGAATGCAGCTGCGCCATCACTCGGCGGAGTAATTCATTGCCAATTACCGCCTACTGGGTTGAGTGGCGCGTTGTTAATATTACAGGAATATAATGTTAAGTTTGAAATAATGGTTATGATGTCGGTGTTCTTCAAGTATAAAAGTATCTCGGTTTAGTCCTATTGAAAGGAATTGTTCGGTTCTCAAGTACAGAGTAGCCGATGTATGGCTTGCTCTGGTTCTTTCAAAATATTCAACTGTTCAATTACATCTCGGACGATTTTCAGTAAATTCTGAAGAAATTAGAACAGACTCGTAAAGATGGAGAAACCTCGCTTCAAAATGTTTTATAAGGCTAATTCGTACGAACTAAATATTTGTGCAATTAAAACTGGGCTGGTAATGAGGTTAACTCGGATAGAAAAGAGAACCTAATATAAGTCACAAACCCGCGCATCTGTTATGGCTACTTAAAATAAGGAAGTGGCGAGTACATTAATTTGTTGAAAACGTAAAATTTGAGTAAAACCAACACTACCAACTGAAAGGTATTTACAATATCTTTCTGATTAGATACAGCACCATCAACCAATAATTACAATAATTACCTAAATATTGTATCAAATTCTTTAACAGATAATGATAAAATTGTTAATCTTTTATTTGATGATATTTATGTAAGTAATAGGCTAGACTACAGGGGAAAAACACAATTGGTGTAGCGTCCAATGACACTTCTGTAGCTACAACTTTATTAGTATTCATGATATGTTCCGCATTTGGAAATTTTTGTGAAATTATTAAATTACTACCTGTTCACAACATAAAAGGGCTTCAAATAACACCAATAATAGCCACCGATATAATAAATGTTATAAAAAGATGTGGGTTTAAAGTTCTAGACGTTATAACTGACAATCACAGAATTAATCCTTCATTGCTTTAACTAACGGTTCTAATTCTTTTGAAAATCCAAATGTTCATATATTCAAAAGTATAAATAACTATAAAAAATTTGGACAAAACATTTTTTGTTTATCCTGATTTTAAAGATTATACACAAATTAGACATGCAAAATATCAAGATATTAATGAAATTTATTTTAATGAAAGACAAGCTATATTAAAAAAAGCTTTTAAACTTAATCACAAGCCAGTGTCTCAGTAATCTGGAGAGTCAATAAGTTTTTATAGCTGACAATAGGCCTTTTCATCATGTGATGAGCGCAAGCGCAGCTGCCATGTTGAAATAGCGGTAATTCAAAAATTTCGTACTGTTTTGATCAATAATGGCTGGAAAAGCAATATTTTCTCTACAGACAAATCAATCATTAGAAAAAATCGTTGATGGTTATTCACTTTTTTATAACTATGTGGAAGCCCATAGTTGTGAGCAATTGAAAGGGTGTTTAAAGTGTCATGGACGTTCGCAAAAAGAGAAAAAGTGTGCTGATTGAGAGGTTAGGTATCAATACTTGTATACTGTGTAAAAAATTAATGAAAACTATTAGTACTTGCAAAAGTATAATTAATAAAATAAATTATTTAATACTTTGAGTATCCACATGACAGTTTTAACAATATTACTGTGTATACCGAAGTAGTATTTTTTTTTTAAATATTGTGTAATAGCAGATAAGGATTTTCTTCCGTTGGATCACTTTCTCCATGAAAAACACCGTTTCTTTCTTTTCGTGCAGATAATACAATTATAATTGATTGCAAAAAATTATTTATCAATTAAAAGACTTATTACTTTATTTAATATTTATCAATTATTTTTTCACGTGGGCATTGTAACATGTTTGTTTACAAAAATTAGTACGAAAAAGATGGCTGATACTGATGCATGCGCACAAAAAAATTGTGATGTAAAGGCCTACATATGTCACATGTCAACTATTTCTGCTTTAAAGAAGTTCAATTATAGGAATACTTCTGACTTGGCAAATTATTAGAAACTGATTGGATGTTGTTAATAATACTTTTGTTTTTGAAGGTACTATTTTAACGAAATGAATTTGCTAAACTCATTTTAAGTGAAATTATTTTTCGGTCCGTTTTTTGAAAAAGATAAAGACGGTTGTGGATAAGTTAATGATCAAAATATTCTTGTTTTTTGGTTGACGCCATCTTTAAATAAAATATCTAAAATGCAAAATGTAATTAAAAGTAATAGTAGTGTGTAGAAAACCAGTTATATTGGACCATATTGTATGAACCATGCTTTAGGTATAAGTTAGGTCGAGTAAATTCTAGATATGTAATTAGGATGTCCCAGTTTGAAGGTAACGTCCGAAACAAGATAATCTGACCAAGACAATGACATTTCATGCGCGACATTATCAAACTGCTTGTATTGTTCTCGAATCGGTTACGGGCACAAAACGGACCACATAATAGGGAATTGTTATTTACTATAACTATGGAATTTAATAGTTAGTCCACACATTCACTATTTTTATTATTGAAGTCTTTTGACTACAATATGTCTGAAAATTGTAAATACATACATCTTAAAAGAGGACCAAAAAATAACAAAATAGGTTTAGACAATGATGTATTTTGATATCATCATTTATTTATTAATCATAAATTGAATAGTTACTTTACTGAGAATGGTAAAGACAGTTAAAAAATTACGTAGAATTTATAAACGGATTTTTTGTATATTGTACTGTTGTGGAATAAATGGTAAAAATATAGATTAATTAACAAAACATGTGTACGTGTATCGGAACGTACAATTCTTGTACTTTGAACAGTTTGCCTCGTATCTCTGTCTTTTTTAGTCATGGTATACTGTAGAAATATATTATGTGAATCACAATCTACCTAAAAGAGGCTTATTATCGTATAATTACCTATTATTAACAACAAATTTCAATGAAATAATATCTAAGCTATATCCGAAATAAGTATCCAATATCATAATTAAACCACATTAAGTATTTATCTTTTACGAGCTTATTAATATGAAAATACACGCTAAACAAGCCTTATACCAAATTGAGATAACTTCAATTTTATTTAATAAGAGAAAAACGCTAATTCGGTAAATGTAACGTGTCGCTGATGTTCCACATACATCCACACCAAGACATGATGGAACAGCTTTTCATACTGTCTGCTCTCTCTCTCATGGCTCACAAATAATCAGGTAGTAAGAGTGGGGCAAATTAATTGGAGCATATTTCATTCTGAAATGACATACCTACTTAACATATTGTAACTTAGAGTTCATAGCATTTTAACTAGACGTTGACACATGTATTTGGTTTTTCTTCTCCTAGGATCAGATATCTCAATATTATCAAACCCTTATAATGACTTAGGAAACGGATTTAGATGTCATCTTCTTTTTCACAGAGCATGCATTGTTGTTATTTTGCTCGATTAATAACCTTCCAAGCATAAAAACATATTATTTAGCTTATGATTTGATTTGTATGAGCTAGGGCCAAAAGTCCTTTATGGAAATCTGTGGACTACGTGATATTCTTTTTGCATCCAAATATATAAACAGGTAAACAAAAAATAATAAACACGTTTGGAATAGTCCAAACAAAGAAACAAAAAATAGCAGATATGTATATGAAACAAGGAATCGTTAAACCTACCTGGCTGAATCAGATAAGGATGGATGTAGATGTGATTTTAAGCAGTTAAAAGATGACCTGGGGTAATTGAAATAGAGAATTGGCGAACTAAGAAAATGGATAGGAAAAAAACTGGCAAATAGACCTATCTTTCGAATAAAATTAATGGTTTAGCCGTATTTGAAACTATTTAGCAAACACTGTTTATTTCGTTGCTTTGTCATTTTCAATATACTCTATAATGTTTTTCCCTTCCGCACCAATCTTACAAAAAATTTTGTCATATCCAAATACTTGGCATTAATTTTTTTTACTTGGATTATTCTTCCTCAAGAAAAATCAATAACATGATAAGATAATACAGAAACAAAACTATTTTTGATGCAAATATAACTGGGATTGAACAAGTATCCTCCTGGGTATACATGCACTTTATTGCTAGTAATAATGAAGGAAGTTGTACATTTTTTAAAAGGAAGAGTTTCCAATGTCCAGTTATTTAAATTCTATGGGGTATAAGCATTTGCACAAAGCAAAAAGAGAAAAACGTTCCTTATAAATCTTTATTCTATCTGGAAATGTGCCTGCAATTTCAGATTCTAAGCGAATACGACCCTACTATATTTTATTTTCATTTAGATGCATATCCAGGAATTTTGAATAACCTTACAAAATGATGTAGGTAGAGAAAAAAATAATTTATTTTTAAGAAAAATTAGAAATTAAAAATTGTCCCTAAAATAACGTCCTAGCGTATTAATCAAAATTGTTATCAAATGAAACAAACATAAATGCAATGGAGATGAAACGTTTGAGAAAGAAATGGGAATGGGACAGTACGGATTGAAGAAACTAAAAAAGAACCAATAATGACAAATACCAAAAAGAAACAGTTAAACTGGTAGCAAGAATGCATCATAGCGAGAAATGTAATAGAAATGGAGAAATTAAGAAAAATGCAACTAGGAAGATGCCCAGGATGAAACAGATTGACTAGATTAAAGAGATCGGAATTGATAAAGTATAGAGAGGAAGACATTAGCCAGAAACAAGAAAAGAAGGTACCAATGGATCAGGTTGGGAACGGAACCTAATCCGACGCCTGAAAAAGCTGAAGGATATAAGAAAAAAGACAAGGACAAGGAAGAAGAAATTCAGGCAACTGCCTACTTCGATTTTTCTAGATTTA